CTCTTTCTTCCGGGAAGCAGTAATGCGTATCGGTTTAAAGGCTGGGGCAGCCGTTGTAAGACCTTAGAACTTATATCTCAAGGTGGGTGACGCATTTACGTTATAGATGTCTATGGGCTCCAGTAACCATTATCATCAGGTAGGCTGTGAGCTTATCCACCCATATAAGTAATAAAAAAAGATCGCTGGAGCAGACAGGTCCTCGAGTGGAGATCGCGTAACGGAAAACGTAACGTGGGACGCCCTCTGGCTAGGTGGTGCGATGAACTCCGAACGGTGGCTGACAAGAAGTGAATGAGGAGAGCCGAAGACCCGGCTCAGTGCTGTGGATTGGAAGAGCCTTTGTCCTATGGCCTATGTCCAGCGGTGGACGACTGGGCTGACGATGATGATGATGATGATGATGATGAGGCAACGGCTTCTCGGCTTCCGAGAAGTACTATCCATATCACGAGGGGTACCTTCAGAAGCTTTAAGTTAAATCGCGCTTTGATTTTGATCCGCTTGGCTGACAATCATGCGGTCTGAGGACACGATTTCAGTATTATCAAGTAAAGATTTCGATCAAAATGTACCTACTTAAAATCTCCTGATCTATATTATAATACGTGAAGCAAAAACTTTGTATCCCTTTTTCCGAAAATTGCGCGGACGGAGGAGTATGAAATTTTCCAAGAAGTGCACAATGCTAATATTTTTATAAATAATGCATAAAAGATACATTAAATCAATAAAGAAAACATTACACAAACTACATACCATGTATTTGACGCACACACCAATGCATACTATTAAAATTTATTGTCAAACTTTTGTTCTTGACGTCTGTGGCCAAATTGAGAATAGATTAAATATTGTTTGTCTTTATTAATATTTTTTTATAGTGTAGCATTGGCGAAATTTGTGATTATAGAAGTATAAAATACAATCATATAATAATAGTGTAGAAACTTACAATTTCAATTAATTATAGTCGAATTTCGACTACTGCAAGATCTCTAGTTTCATTAAATCGACCGAATAGTTTACTAAAATACATTGTTATCTAATGCGATCTATAATAAAATAGAAGATCAAAACGACCGGTCTTCAGCCCCAAGAACATGAGAGTCTCAATTCCATTTTGTATTCTGTACGTACAACGAAACTTCTCCAAGCCGTGGTATAATTTCACTTGTGAATAATTTGCTATGCGTTCCGCCTTGTAAGTCAGGCGTTTTTTCCTTCATATTATAATGGTCGCGATGTGTTTTTTTTTCTTCAGTATGATGCTTTGATAACCACCCTATTCTGTGGCAACATATTTTTTAGCTCGATTTTTGAATATTGTTCATTCATTGTTTTGAATATTGTTGTGTATCTCTTCTTTTTTCAGGGGTATTTGTTTTTGTCGATGTGGCTTTTTGTAGGTCATTACCCTATTCCGAATCAATTAAAAGCGTTTTCTTAATAGGGGTTTCATTTTATCTAGCTAATTATATTTATAGCTAGTTATAACTAAAAATTTAGCTAATTGTAGAATTATGGAGAATAACTGTCAAGGCTAAGGGATCCCAAACGACTACATCAGCTCTGCCAAGTGTAACCTACTATGATGATGATGACTTATATTTTTAATCTATTGGCAAATCACTTAACAGCTAGTCAATCATTTATGGCCTCGTCGGCGGAGTGGTTAACGGTTCTAGCGATTGTGCTAAGGATCATCTCTCTAGCACTATAACCATGGCTGCTGGTGCTCACAATAGTTGGCGCAGGGTCCTAGATTGGTTGTGAGTCTTTGAACGTGGAACGTCAATTTACTTAAATTCTCCACGAGCGGACGAGACTTGCTCTTTGACTAGCGTTAAATCTGTAATTCAGAAACAAATAAATACATTGGATTTGCGGTTCTCCAGTCGATATACTACCAGATAATTGAAGCCGTCAGCGCAAAAGTAGCCTAAGCTTACCATAGTTATTATGGAGCAATGAGGCTTAAGTTTTCATGCATTTGAATTTGAGTAGGCAAAAAAACTAATAATAATATTTACAAAGCCATCTGTTATCTCTTTTTTTTTTTTTTTTTATTGCTTAGATGGGTGGACGAGCTCACAGTCCACCTGGTGTTAAGTGGTTACTGGAGCCCATAGACATCCACAACGTAAATGCGCCACCCACCTTGAGATACAAGTTCTAAGGTCTCAAGTATAGTTACAACGGCTGCCCCACCTTTCAAACTGAAACGCATTACTGCTTCACGGTAGAAATAGGCAGGGTGGTGGTATCCACCCGCGCGGACTCACAAGAGGTCCTACCACCAGTAATATATATCTATGGGTAAAACTATGGATAAGCCGGTTTTGCATCAAAATGTATTATTTTTAAATAAATTGCAATATACATAAAAGCATGATTATGAAAAATTTTGGGTTAGGCAACTTTTGTTCTGACAGCCTCAATTCTAGATCTGTTGATACGTGGAATCAAGAATCGGCTGACACACTGACATATTTATTAATGCAGATTTAATCGTCGTTGCTTCGGTCTTGTCATTGACTACGACAATAACCATCCAATGAGTTAATATAACCAAGCGATATTTCATCCAAATCCGTTTGGCGTTTCTTACGTAAATTCAAATTTATAATTTTAGCACAAATATTCTGAGAGGGGATTTTTTCAAACAAACACATCATCAAAAACAAAGGACGAATGTTTATATATTAAATGATAAAAATGATAACACGAAGGATCATGAGACTGTCTGGCTATCCAATTTTCTTGATGGCCTCTTCCAATTTGGTGTAGCCTAGAAAGCTAACGGCTAAGAATGAAATTTATCTCATTCTTTGAACGGAAACGATGCGACCTTACTTACGTCTAAGAAGACGCTAGACGAATTCCATTTAGGTCAAACCTTAAGACGCTGTCAATCACAAAATAAACAACACGTAATATTATAGACTATTGATTTGTGATTTACTTAAGTTTGTACAAAGGAATATCTAAATAAAAAAAACGTTTGAATGTGATCTCTGAATGTACTTTAAAAAGTCATCACCATCATCATCAGCCTTTATCTGCCCACTGCTGGACATACCTTCCCCAATGCCTTCCACAGAATGCGGTCCTCCGCCTTCCGCATCCAACGACTTCGCGCCGTGCGCACTAAGTCGTCGGTCCACCTGGTTGGAGGACGCCCCACGCTCTTGGAACCCATCCATGGCCTCCATTTGAGAAATTTCCTCCCCCACCTGGCGTCGCTGGCTCGAAAGATGTGACTGGCTCATTGCCACTTTAGCCTGAGAGCCTTTAACTTTGAGAGCGATGTCGTCGACTTTGGTTTTCCGTCGAATTTCCTCGTTCCGGATTTTGTTCCTTAAAGAAATACCGAGCATAGCTCTCTCCATCGCCCGCTGTGCGACTCTTAACTTATGGACCAGCCCCGCCGTCCAGGTTTCCGCGCCGTAGGTCATCGCGGGGAGAACGGACTGATTAAAGACTTTTGTCTTCAGGCATTGAGTAATTTGCGAGGTGAGGATTGCACGGAATTTCCCAAATATTGACCAACCCAGTCGTATGCGTCTCTTAATCTCTGTATTGAAGCTACCCCGGCCAAGCTGGATAGCCTGATTAAGGCAGATAAAGTATTTTACCTCTTCGATGGCTGCATTCGAGATGGTAACTTGGCCCCGGACGATTTGATCATTGACTTTCGTCTTGTCAAGCTTCATCCGCAGTGACACGCATCAGGAAGAAGCATTGAGATCGTTGAACATACCACTGAGGTCCTTCAGCGATTCCAACATTATGACTATGCCATCGGCAAATCAAAGGTGCGAGATGTACTCTCTATTGACGTTGATTTCGGGTGTTTTCCAGTTCAGCGTATTGAAGACATCTTCAAGTGCAGCGGTGAACAGCTTCGGAGATATAACATCTCCCTGTCGGACACCCCGCTGCAGCTTGATAGGTCTAGATTGGCAATCCTGGATTTGTACGATCATCGTCGCAGCTTCGTATAGACTTTTCAACACCTCGATATAGCGATAGTCTATCTGGCATCGCTGTAAGGATTCCAGAACTGACCAGGTTTCGATAGAGTCAAAAGCTTTCTCGTAGTCCACGAAAGCCACGCACAGTGGCAGATTATATTCTGTAGACTTTTGTATAATCTGTCTGAGAGTGTGAATGTGGTCTACGGTATTGTAACCCTTTCGAAACTCAGCCTGCCCCTGTGGCTGGCATTCATCAAGCCTTCGAGCGAGACGATCAGTAATGACCCTAGAAAATACCTTGTAGACGTGGCTCAAAAGATATATCGGTTTATAGTTCTTCAACAAAGTTTTATCACCTTTCTTGTAGAACAACATGACCTGACCTCTTGTCCACGCCAATGGTGTAGTCCCGTTGTGTATGACGAAATTGTACAGGCTCTGTAATTCCTTCAGGATAGGAATCCCTCCGGATTTCAGCAGCTCCATAGTAATTCCATCTTCACCAGGCGCTCTACCATTTTTAAGCAGTTCGGCTATCCGAATCTCCCCGACGCTGATGTCCGGGACATCATCCGAGTAATGCCGAGTAAGCGGTGCTCGGCTGTCACTAGCTCGGGTGGCGGGTGTAGGTAGAGAAGTGTGCATTGCGTAGAGTTTGCCATGATATTTTTCGAATTCACCTAAGATTTCTGATTTAAAAAAAGTACTGAGAGGAAAAACACATTCGCGGTTTTGAGTACTTTTTAGCTTATATATATTGATTTGCATATCTTGTTTATTTCAATAAAAATTAAAAATTTTCCCAGCGTATTACACGAAATGAGCTTCCTTTCTAGAAATAATAATTGTACAGCTCACAGCTATCTATGAATAATATTTATTTCATAATATTATTACCCAGTTAAATATTATTATATAGCAATTAGTAGGTAATCTAAAATACATATTACACAGTGTACATTTTGTGACTTGATTTGGTACTGCTGTCACAACCTCCACAGCGGGCAAGTTCACTGACACAGTCAAAGTCATTACATCATGCGCGATCGTCTGAGTCGCATCTGTCCGAGTGATTTAAACAGTAATAACTATTAAATCAATAATGTTAAGGGCAATTATATTGTGCTTGATATTAGTGACATGTAGTGCATACAGATTGTTAGCTGTCTTCCCGTTTCCTGGGAAGAGTCACATGATTTTAGGTGAAGGATATGTAAGGCTTCTCTTGGAGGCTAATCACGATGTAAGTGAAATATTAATAATCGTTTTCAATATCTCAAATGTAACGTAAATAAACTAATAAATCCAGTACAGCCTGACGAGCATTGTAAAATTGCATTTGTATCAAACCATTAAGCTTCATTTTTGCGTCTCTATATTTCATTTCAATCCCTCAATTTAATACGGAACCATGCTATTTTTGTTTGGGCATATAATTACCTGTTTCAAGTCATTATATAAAAATAGTCGGTGAGATATTTATTTAATTAAGAATAATATTGAAATCATGTACAACCCACCTTCCAATAACCTCTCGATTTAATCCAGTTATATTTAAAAAATATATTTAAAAAAATAGACTTAGTAATGACAGCATTACGTTCTGATCACTAAAAATATATCAATAAGTAATATAAATATACCAGATTCAATTTTAAGAGCGGAAAAAAAAATTCTCTAAACTAAAAATAAACTCTAAATTTGCGCTGCTTGTTGCTCTACAACCGAACCATTTTGATTTGAATTTGAATATTATTACAATGACATTATGTATTATTTTGGGATTCAAAATAAAACAATACTATGTAATTGGAACGTGGCGTGAAATACTATATTATTTTTTATTATTCTTGACAGTTAATATAACTTTTATTTTTCATTGTGTTTGGCTATCGTCACGACGGACACAATCAATATTATTTCACCAAATACCGAATACGTTCATTACTGATTATAAGCTCCACTACATCACGTGCCTGGCGGTAGAGTGTATTGCACCAGAACTAGGTATTTCTGTAAATAAATATTAATACGTGCCGATTTGAATAAAAAAAGCCTGCGTGGTCGGATTACAAACAAAACGACCTTGTAACACTGACTGATGGTTGAATTCTTAAGAGCTCGAGAACTGCTTATACAGAAAAACAACAAAATATAATATTGTTATCTTTTTGGTGTTTAAAGATCTAAATTTTTATTTAAGCATTTATAATAATAAAATCCATATCACAGAATTAAAAACAGATGTAGTAAAAGAAACATGTAATAGATATGCAGGATATACAACTTAAGGAAGGTTGTCGTCAGGCAAGCGACTGATCGTAAAACTCATGCCATATTCCAGTGCAGCATGATAAGAGGATATGCCGCACCGACCTCACATCATGTTGAATAAGGGCGAAAAGAAAAAAAAGACTGGAATTCCACCTATCCATTTTTCTCTATGAATTCTTTCTTAGTTTGTAAGATCACTTCATGGTGTATTGTGAACTACCGCGGAAGGATATCATCAACCCACGTATTTTTGTACCATAGCAGTTAGACAATCTGGTTTGAAGGTGTAAGACGACAGTTATACAATTACAATTGACATTTCGATATGATGACTCAAGTTGGGCGACAGAATCAATAATTTGATGTCTATTGACTCCACTAACCGTATAGCCAAATACAAATTTGTTAACCCATCTTAGAAATAAAATTAGTTAATTAAACAAATTATTACTGGTGGTAGGATCTCGTGTGAGTCCGCACGGGTAGGTACCACTACCCTGCCTATTTCTGCCGTGAAACAGTAATGCGTCCTAAGAACTTATATCTCAAGGTGGGTGGCGCATTTACGTTTTAGATGTCTATGGGCTCCAGCAACCACTTAACACCAGGTAGGTGAGCTGTGAGTTCGTCCACCCACTTTAAGCAAAATTAAAACTGCTTATTTTGTCATTTTATTATAACGTTGGCATTTTAATTCGCAATAATAAAACTGTACTTCTAGATAAATAAACGTCTCTGTTTTTTCTCTTTATATAAAATCATTCTCGTTTCTTCTCCTAGGTAACGTACTTAACGCCTGCTCCACTAAAGATTGATCATCCAAAATTAAGACAGATCGATGTATCTTCAACCGAAAAGGGTTTTGATTTCGGTAAGAATTAATACTTTTCAAATTTACGTAGAACATTTGTCCATCAACTGTCTGGCTATCTTCTTCCGTATTCCTTTATAAGGTATACACAGTATGCTTCAGCATGTTATTGTGTAAAGTGAGTTAAGGACGGACGATAAAAAAGTACTAATATAGGCATAGCTAATTAGAATATAAAAATTTTAGATAATTTTTTTAGGCCTGACTAGACAATTCATATTCTATTGCCCACGAGCAGATGATTAATATTCCTGCCCATTGTCTATGTATAGGTGATTCGTATTCCTGCATTTTCTGCCGCGATATGATCATGCATACTAGAAGGGTGGGATAACCGAGACAAGTGACATTTCGACTTAACCTTTCAAGGTGGGCGGAATTCATGCTGTGATGATCTTAAGCTAATCCTGCCGTCGAGTAGGAAAATATTCAATTGTAGATGGCATAAATAAGAACAAGTGCTCTAAATAATATGTCTTGACTACCAATAAGGTTGCCGTTTTACAAACCTGACCTTTTGAAAGGAAATTTATACGTACGGCTGATAATAAATTTTAAATTCAAATGAATTTTTATTTTAAAAATACGTATAGTATTTATTTATTAAGTTGCACCAACAAAGTGATCGTCAATACAAAACATTGACAAATTGACAAAAGTTCATGGCAGATGTCACCTCAATTATAGTCAATCGACAGTGCATATTATTATAGTATTCTACTAGCGGGCCCGGCAAACGTTGTTTTGCTATATAAATTATTTCTAGGAAAGATAAATAACCCATTAGATACCGACTGCAGCGCAAGCTGCCGGGCTGATTTGTGAATCTAAGCCATCCGTGGCGCCACCCAAACGCATACAAAAAAATCATTGAAATCGGTCCAGCCGCTTAGGAGGAGTTCAGTGACAAACATACGCACAGAAGAAATATATATTAATTATGTAAAGATTTTTAAATTCCGTCATTTGTTTATTGCTTAATGTTTGTTTTTTTCGCTACATTTGTATCTTTTTCATCTATATGAACATGGTAGAAATATGAGTAATTATGGAACGCTAATTCCGTCGCCGTAGCAATGCGACACAAACGTCTCACAGGGATCACGAGGTGCACGGAGTGAAAATTACACACGAACGCATGATTTACCAAATTTTGATTAAAAAACGAACCCTGTTGTCGCCCGGCAACTAAAGTCAACAAAGGCGACTTAAAGGCAATAGTGGAATCTAGTAATCAATCTACCACTGCGGGACCAGCGAAGGGATTTTTAAGGACTTTCTCATTTGTGATTTAAAATGAATTATTTTTGATAATCGTAAGTGGTCATCATGTTGGTTGGACGCTGGTTCAGCACCAAGGCAATACCCCAAACGAAAGCTTAACGCTGAGAAAGTCACGGACACTGTTTGGCGATCTAGGGCCATAATTCATCACAGCTTCTTACCAAATGGCACCAGCATTACTGCGAATGTGTACTTTGTGGAACGATACACAGTGATGGAGAAACTTGCGAATCTCCAGCAAATCTTTGCTTATCTCTCGGGCCCCTACTCGTACGCGAGAACGTTTGACCTCATACGGCACAAAGGTCTCTAAGCTACAAGAGCTAGGGTTAGAAGTTTTGCTTCATCAGCTCTATTTACCAAACCTTGCACAAACAGATTTTTACTTTTTTCAAAGTTTGGACAACTTCTTGGCCGGAAAAAATTCAACAATCCAGATGCGACACAAAATGTCTTTGAAGAGTTTGTTGAATCCCGTACGCTTGACTTATTTGAGAAGGACATTTAAAATTTATCAATGATTAGGCATAGATGCATTGATACCAATAATTGATTGATTGATTAATAATTGATTGATTGATTAATAATTGATTAATAATAATTGATTGATTGATATTGATGCATATAAAAAATACTTATAAAAATAGTTTAACTTTCTGTAGACTAAACGACAATTTAAAATAGATAAAAACTTGACGACCCAATTTACACTATCCCACTGCAGGCGAATCGAAATGAGGACACAGAATAATTACTTGAATACAATACAACAGATTCTCGTTGTCTCGTTGTCACGTCTCGGGTTCGAAAAATAAAGATAAATTAGTTTTAATTACTATGACAAGCATTAATGTATTATTTTTATTTATTTATTTATGTACACACAGAAAAAAGACATAGTACAGAGTAATAGGAAAATTATGTACAAAGGCACTGCTTATTTCTTTAAGAAATCTCTTCCAGCAGACCTGCGAGAGGATAATGAGAATAATAATAAAAAGTGATAATAATTTTTTTTCTTGTAATTAAATTAGAGGTCACTTCCATTTTAGATGGCCTGTTCAACTTTAAGAAGTTGATTAACAAAGAAGTCGATCTATCAGATACGAATCACAAGTATATCGTAATGCAATATGTAACCGAGTCATTGTTAATGCATCCCAACGTACAAAAACTGCTTTTGGATACAGATCAAACGTTTGATGCCGTGATTGTTGAGTGGATGTATAGCGACTTGTATTCTGGGTGAGAAAATTACTAAAAAATTATTCATATATTTCGATCGATTAAATCATTTAGTACCCACGATGTTAATTACCAGTAAAAGACAGTGCATAAAAAGGTTTGGTCAATATATTTTTTATAATTAAAAAAATAACTAAGTCTAACTAAAATAATAAGATTTAATACTTTTCTAGGTTTTCAACTGTCTTCAACTGTCCATTTATTTGGTCGTCATCGCTGGAGCCCCATCCCATGATCCTTAGGCTTATTGATTCTTTACCGAATCCAGCTTACTTTCCTGATCATACTTCATCCTTAGAACCTCCCTACACATTTCTAGAGCGTGTTGAACAATTATGGAACATTGCTAAAACTTTATACAACAGATGGTAAGGAATTGTATTTTATATTGATAATTAACATTTAAGAAATCTAAAATGTAATAAAGCATTTACAATAAGCAAACATAAGGCAGGTTTTTCAGACAGATCTTTTTTGCCACGTACCATCCGGCTATGGAATGAGCTCCCCTCCACGGTGTTTCCCGAGCGCTATGACATGTCCTTCTTCAAACGAGGCTTGTGGAGAGTATTAAGCGGTAGGCAGTGGCTTGTCTCTGCCCTTGGCATTGCTGAAGTCCATGGGCGACGGTAACCACTCAACATCAGGTGGGCCGTATGCTCGTCTGCCTACAAGGGCAATAAAAAAATTAAAAAAAAAAGTTGAAATTTCATTTTCTCTGTCTAAAATGCTTACTTTTTGTAAGTGCTTTGTGTCATGCGTATCAGATCTGTGTAATAGAGCAGAAAACCGAAAAGGAGATTGAGTTTTAGGATTGAGGATTAGTTCATGATAAATCATGACCATCAACATCAGGTAAGAGAGCAAAATTTAAAGAAACGTAATAAAACAATAGAAAATAAGTAAGTAAATATTATTAACCTCGTCTTCGATAGGAGATTGAAAGAAAAAGAAGAAAGTATTTACGAGAATGCGTTTGGACCAGCCGTTAAGAAACGAAACAGAGTTTTACCACCATACAACGAAGTGAAGTATAATGGATCATTGATTTTGGGAAATTCTCACGTGTCTACTGGAGTTGCTTTTAGTCTTCCTCAGAATTACAAGGCGATCTCAGGATATTATATACCGAAAAAAATACCACAGTTGCCCGATGTAAGTCAAAAAACATATTCCTTTCATCCTTCTCATGCTCTTCTTCCAATCACCTGGGGTCGGTGCAACATGTTTTCTCCTTCCATAATCCTCTATCATTTATCAGTTATTCGCTAATTCCCCTTTTATACATATCGTATTTCACGCAATCCATCCGTTTCTTCTTAGGTCTACCTTTGCCTCTCAAAAAAGAGATTCCTCTAATGATAGAAATTATATTCTAAATAGTTCAATTCAACTAATCGTAATAATCTGTCTCCGTACAATAAATAACAAATGTGATACATTTTTTTATAATATATAAATCTTTTTATAGCAAGTTATGTCTATGTATGCGTGCACGAAATGCATCCTGAATTGAACTATGTGATAGTCTTTAAAACTTAACTTTTAACTTAACTTACTTCTTATAGAGAATATAGAGAAGAAATGCACAATGCAAATATATTTTTTAAATAATGCATAAAAGATACAATAAATCAATAAAGAAAACATTACACACACTACATACCATGTATTTGACGCACACACGCATGCATACTATTTATTGTCAAACTTTTGTTCTTGACGTCTGTTGTCAAATTACTCAATTAGGATTTTTGATTCACCCTCTAGGTTAACAATGACCTCTTTTGCCTTGGTTTTATTTTTAGAATAGTGTGAGAGCTGAGAACATTAATCTCCTATAAAAAAATATTAGATAAGGTAATTGAATTAAAACATATCTGATATAGCTACTATTAGAAATTTGGAATTTTACCAAGTTTTTTTTTTTCATTTTTCGAAGATCTACTTGTGTGTTTTTTCAGAAAATAAAAAATATCATGGACAAAGCAAAAAATGGTGTAATTTACTTCAGTATGGGAACGATGGCAAAAAGCAAAACATTACCAGAAGAATTGAAACGGAACCTAGTAGATATGTTTGGAAATCTAAAACAAACCGTTATATGGAAATTTGAGGAAGACTTAGATGGATTACCAAATAATGTGCATATTGTATCGTGGGCGCCGCAGCAAAGTATTCTTGGTAAGTTCCACGAATTATGATTTAAAAAGAAAATTCACATAAAATTACCTGTTCAAATTTTTAAAAAGTATTCACACTTTTTTTTACCCTTTAAAACTCTACTACTAATTTATTACAAATGTTAGGAGGATATACCGCTCAATAGGTACAGCTGCTCTAAAATAATGCATTTAACAATTAAGTTTATTTTTTTCAACGACGGTATCCTTTTGAATTTGTTTTCATTTATTGCACTGACGAAAAAATGAGTTCACGATCCACTCGATGTCAGATAGTTACTGCCCTTGAGACATGAGCCCTTGGTCTCAATGTAAAATCAAAACAAACCAGCGTATCAAGGACGCAGATGAAACAAAATTTTAGCAAACTCTGACACACAGAGAAAAATAATTCCCAATTTCGTGCTAACTTCGTTTTGAACTAATCTATCATCTATACTAAGAATGTCGCTAAATGTTGCCATTCCCTACAATCTGTCTGCATAGTAACTATATTTACTAGTACTTATTTGCTGACGTGCTTTGTTTGACGATTGCATCATTGTATGTACAATCTGTTTTGAGCATTCAGTAAGCAAGCAATCAGCATTGTATGTACAATCTTTTTAGTAAAGGCCGCGTTCTTGTTTTTTTTTTATTTTTATTTTTTATTGCTTAGATGGATGGACGAGCTCACAGCCCACCTGATGTTAAGTGGTCACTGGAGCCCATAGACATCTACAACGTAAATGCGCCACCCACCTCGAGATATAAGTTCTAAGGTCTCAGTATAGTTACAACGGCTACCCCACCCTTCGAACCGAAACGCATTACTGCTTCACGGCGGAAATAGGCGGGGTGGTGGTACCTACCCGTGCGGACTCCCAAGAGGTCCTACCACCAGTGATTACGCAATTTATAATTTTGCGGGTTTGATTTTTATTACACGATGTTATTCCTTCACCGTGGAAGTCAATCGTGAACATTTGTTGAGTACGTATTTCATTAGAAAAATTGGTACCCGCCTGCGGGATTCGAACACCGGTGCATCGCTTCTTACGAGTGCACCGGACGTCTTATCCTTTAGGCCACGACGACTTCAACTTATTTATACTTGTTTATAGCGATACCGTCCTTCAACTTTATTGGATATTAGGTCTTTTATGTTGCGGGAATAAATTGAATAGAGGTGGTTGCGCAGCTAATTGGTGTCACGATAAAAAAAGAAAGTACAGTTTTATTCGCGGTATAAAAAAACACAACTAAAAAAGTTCACAAAGTCGAGTTAGTCGTGTTTCCTCATTGCTGAAGGCCGTGATAGCCGACATCCATGACTTTTTTCTCGGTGGTCGCCATCTTGTTTATCTTCAATCATCACATGCAGCATTACAGACACTAGAGTCAAGTGTGATTCGAATTCCGTAATATCAACATGTCGCTTGTGGCCTTCTCCGAATTCGCGAGTGATTATTAGTTTTCGACATCACCTTATACCTTGCTAATACTAAGTTAAAAATGGTTGTGAGCAAAATCTAAATTTCGTTCTCATCAACAAAAGGTAGTTAAATATGAAATCCATTATCCTAAGTTAGCTTCGTAAATTTTCCATTTTGTTTTAGTATCTGTTCTTACTTTTAATTTACTGTTATTTACACTCTCCATGTACAGCATCGACAGACAAACAACCTAAGGCCAACTATCAGTGATTATAAAGAGTAGGCACAATATAAATGTTATTGTTCACAATTTGTTTCCTTATCAGATCAATAAAGTTTTTCCAGTAATTTGCAGTCGTTTCTAATTTCAATTCCATTTAATTTCATAAGCTGCTCAATAAGTTTTTTATTTATTTACTATCCTTTTTAGTATTACCATTAAAGTCCAAAAATTATCTCATCTGAACTATGATATTTTCCACAGCTCATCCCAACTGCGTGCTATTCATCACTCATGGCGGCTTACTGTCTACAACTGAGGCACTACACTATGGGGTCCCTATAATAGGGATCCCAGTTTTTGCCGACCAATTTCTCAACATCAAAAGAGCAACCACAAAAGGATTTGCCCTCGAAGTTGACATTAACTATGAAACACCAGGAAACTTAAAGTTTGCGATCGATGAAATTTTGAACAACCCTAAGTTAGTAATTTGCTATGAAGCTTATTTTGTATCGCGAAGTAGTTAGTAGTTCTTCTTAATAAGAATAGCTTTAAGACTTCGATCTCGTGTCAAGGGAAAATGTACCTTGTAACATCTATGCCCACAGACATTTTCGGTGATTCTTTAACACTTTGGTTCCAACTTCGTTGATAAAAAGTTTTACTGTGTCTAAATACTGCAAAACACTTTGCAAATTTCTAAGCCAGCAGGAAGTAAACATTGAAGAAGAAGAAAAAGTAGTGATGAGCTAAGAATTAATATTTTGTTAACACATTGATGAATCGATGAATCGTAATCTCTGGTGAGCCCGCACGGGTAGGTACCACCACCCCGCCTATTTCTGCCGCGAAGCAGTAATGCGTTTCGGTTTGAAGAGTCGGGCAGCCGTTGTAACTATACTGAGACCTTAGAACTTATATCTCAAGGTGGGTGGCGCATTTACGTTATACATTTCTATGGGCTCCAGTAACCACTTAACACCAAAAAATCTTTATTTATATTTATTCATTCATTCATTTATAATGTACGTTTAGCCTGTGTTAGTAAAGTACACAATTTTACTGTAGATATCGTGAAAACATTAAGCAGCTATCGCTGGTCTACCATGATCGTCCGGTGTCTCCCGCTGCTGAGCTGGTCCACTGGGTGGAGCACGTCGTCAAGACTAAAGGAGCTCTCCATCTGCGCTCGCCAGCACTGCACGTGCCTTTCTACCAGAAGCTGTACTTAGATCTTCTTGCTGTAATTTTAATGATGCCGCTGGTTTTATGTAAACTTCTGAAGTATATGAAAAATAAATTATTCGGCGTTTTAAAAAAGAAGGGAAAAAAGACAAAAAAGAATCAGTAATTTTAATTGATTTTTAATACATATTATGTACATATTATGAAATAAATCAAATACATTTTATTTTTGATTGTCTTATTATAGTATAACAGACTAGCTGCGCCCGCGGCTTCGCCCGCAACAAAATGTAATTTTACATCTAGTATCTTTAAACAAGCAATTCTTGTATTCGGGGACGATAAATCGATCTAGCTACGATTTATTTTCAGAAAATGTTGTTTTATTCGTGTTTTCATTAATCAACTTTATCGGTAATCAACTTAAACTTAAACTTTTTTTTTTGTAAATAAATTAACAAATGATATAATATAATATCAATATGTAATTCGTATTTAAATATAATTACTAAAGAACACAATTTAGCAAAAAAAAAACAGAGCAAAGCTCAGTCATCCTCTAGTTAATACTTAAAAGCCATAAGATGCTCCAGAAAGTTAGCTGCGGTAGATATTTAGGTGAATATATGTATGTATGTATGTGTATACTTATATACATTCTCTATTGCTTATGGTTATGAGTCAAAAAATAAAAATCGTTGCAACCAGTGCCACCTCGCCGGCACTAATGTAAGGTTCAATAATAAAATTAATGTCATATTCGTCATGTTGCCCTTTGTATGTGTGCAGTTTCATATTAATTGAGCTAACGGGTCTCGAGTTTTCGATGAAGATACTCTTTCGCACATACATTATTTTTTATATATATTATTAGGACGTCTTTATTCCAAAAAGACGTATTTACTGTTACTAGGACTACTACTAGGAATGGGATATACTACAAAGATATTATTGTTGTTTTTTTTATTGTTTTTTTTTTATTGCTTAGTGCTAGTGTTAGAGCTGAAGGCGTCTAATGCAAAGGTTATTGGATCTGATGGATCCGTAAGGACGTGTCTAGGGCGTCGACGGTGACTGGCTCCTGCGTGATCAGGATTCGGGGAGTAGTCAACGGCGGCAACGATAAGGCGATTATCATGACGATTGTTACAATTAAATGAAAACCGCGCGCTTTAACTAGTGATAGCTTCATAATGACCATATAAGGTAATCGTTGATACCGGAAATCAAATTCTAGGTGCCTAGAAATTTCGAAAACAAAATAGCGAACAACGGATCAACTGTTTGAGAATGATTCGATTTCGCTCGATTCGAGTATTGCTATCTCGGTACTACAGGTGTTTTCTGGAATATGGACTTGCTTCGGTTGAGCCGTTCTTTTCACATTTCTATCTCGTCTCATACGAAAGATCTAGAAGTCCGGTCATTGCGCATCGCCGCCACAGGAAGTAGGCCGTTCCGATACAAACATATAAAAACGAATCCGCGCAGCAGGAAACAATTTCGACGCCAAAGAGTTCGCACGACGATTATAAGTGATCCATATTCGTGATGATTTGTTCACGTTTTAAAAGTAGTACAGCAGTCCTACACAAAAATAAACAGGAATATTAAAAGCGATTGCATTATATCTCAACCCCCTTGGTAAATCACTACATAGTATAAAACAAAGTCGCTTTCTCTGTCCCTATATCTGTCTGTCCCTATGTATGCTTAAATCTTTAAAACTACGCAACGGATTTTGATGCGGTTTTTTAATAGACAGAGTAATTGAAGAGGAAGGTTTACATGTATAATAACATCCATTACATAGTGGAGAAATCAATAATAAATACAGCTTCCGAAGCGAAGCGAGGGCGGGTCGCTAGTTTATTATAACTAGTGACCCCGCAGCAGTCGAGATTCGACTATAATTAATTGAAATTACAAGTTTAAACATTATTATGGTTCTATTGTGAAACATTTCGATAATATAATGACAGTATTCGCCAAAACTGCACTATAGATCAATAATATTAAAGACAAACAATATTAATCTATTTTCAATTCGACCACAGACTTTAAACAATAACAAAAGTTTCCCAATTGACAGTAAACGAAGAGTATATTTTTATGTATGTGTTGTGTCCAATACATGGTAGTGTGTGTAATGTTTTCTTTATTGATTTAAAGTATCTTTTAGGCATTATTTTAAAAAAAATATTAGCATTGTGCCCTCCCTCTATAATATATTCTCTATTAGTGTGAGGAATTTCATACTCCTCCGTCCGCGCAATTTTCGTAAAAACGGGGTACAAAGTTTTTTCTTCACGTATTAATTTTTCATGTTGGATTAATTCGATTACTATTCAACAAGTGATTTCTTCAACCTTTTAATAGTGTAAAAAATGGCTATGGCTATAATATCTATATATATATATAAATGAATTGCTGTTCGTTAGTCTCGCTAAAACTCGAGAACGGCTCGACCGATTTGGCTAATTTTGGTCTTGAATTATTTGTGGAAGTCCAGAGAAGGTTAGATAAATACGAAAACGCTCGGAATTAAATAAAAATAACAAGGGAAAACCCTTTGATGTGTCTCCCGTTGGACGGATTCCTTTTGTTTGTTTTAAGTTAATTTTATACAAAAGTTTAGGTCTTTTATTCATCGATTGAGGCAGTACGAAGTCTGCCGGGTCAGCTAGTACTCGTATGTTTCTTAAAAGTGGGTTAACAACTTAATTAAATGTGACAGCGGGTATCTTAAAATTAGTAATTAAAATTAGTAACCTTATCGATTTAATCATTCCGATAACTTTTATAAATATGTTTCACAGCGGTATTGTTCGTCATTAGCATTCTATTATCATATGAATTGAGTCCAAATCAGTCCTGCCTCCACAAAAAACCAGAGGAGATATGGCCGCGATAATTAATTCCCATCGTGTATTCCGCGCGTGTGTTGTTAACATCGGTGGCTTGTGTGTATCTAAATAGAACATATTATTCTAAAACATTGAATTTGTTAAAATTCCCATAAATAATAAATTTCAATAGATACTTGAAAATAATAAGCTTTTGGTTTTGTATTTACTATTCTATTAAAAATTGCCACCGAAAAATTGTATACAAGATAGTTCATAATAATATGAAATTATTAACTAATATATATAAGTATAATAGTTAAAACTTTATACTAAACCTTGTATTAGTTCATGTTAATATAATGTAACTCAAACACATAGCTGGGATTTATTTACTATTTCATTCATACAGGTCATTGCTTCACTCAATCTTATCTTATACCTTTAAGCGAGCAATTCTTGTATATTAATATATAATTATATAATCTAAATCTCGGAAACGGCTCCAACGATTTTCATAAAATTTAGTATACAGGGGATTTCGGGGGCGATAAATCGATCTAGCTACAATTTATTTTCAGAAAATGTTGTTTTATTCGTGTTTTCAATAATCAACTCTTCCCGACATCTATTGGCGAATAATAATACTATTTTTCTTAATTGAGGGCAACTAACCGCTTTAAAGACACAACAAGATGACGTTATCAAAAAAAAAACCGTCTACTATTATTTATTGGTAACTTACCTGTATTTAGTATAAGTTAAAATGTAATCTTTTCTTTTGTACCTCATAGCGTAGTGGAATGGTGATCGTCCGGCATAAGCAGTTGGGGTTTGATTCTGGGTTGGGTAATCGTATTTCATTTAAATATTTGATTATTATTATTTTTTTAATTATATTTCGGTCGGACTTAATTGTCGCCACTGCATTCCGCGTAATTTTTAATTGCTTCGCGACAGATGCCGACGCCCTCTCCCGGTCTCACCTAGTGCCTGGGTGTCGCAGTTTTTATTGCCCTTGTAGACAGACGAGCATACGGCCCACCTGATGGTGAGTGATTACCGTCGCCCATGGACCTCAGCAATGCCAGAGGCAGAGCCAAGCCGCTGCCTACTGCTTAATACTCTCCACAAGCCTCGTTTGAAGAAGGACATGTCATAGCGCTCGGGAAACACCGTGGAGGATAGCTCATTCCATAGCCGGATGGTACGTGGCAAAAAAGACCTCTGGAAACGCACTGTGGATGACCGCAGTGGCTCCAGGTAGTATGGATGAACTCTATTCCGGTGGCGGGCGGTGCGATGGTAAAAACGAGATGTCGGTATCATCTTTCGCGCTTCAAGTGTCGATTCGACGCGTTCCAGAAAACTGGGGGTCCACCGTACGGATTACAAAGTACGTGCCGCACGTCTAAGTACTGATCGTGGACCATCACACACCGTCTCCAAGTTTTGACAAGTTGTCGTGGNCAGACGAGCATACGGCCCACCTGATGGTGAGTGATTACCGTCGCCCATGGACCTCAGCAATGCCAGAGGCAGAGCCAAGCCGCTGCCTACTGCTTAATACTCTCCACAAGCCTCGTTTGAAGAAGGACATGTCATAGCGCTCGGGAAACACCGTGGAGGATAGCTCATTCCATAGCCGGATGGTACGTGGCAAAAAAGACCTCTGGAAACGCACTGTGGATGACCGCAGTGGCTCCAGGTAGTATGGATGAACTCTATTCCGGTGGCGGGCGGTGCGATGGTAAAAACGAGATGTCGGTATCATCTTTCGCGCTTCAAGTGTCGATTCGACGCGTTCCAGAAAACTGGGGGTCCACCGTACGGATTACAAAGTACGTGCCGCACGTCTAAGTACTGATCGTGGACCATCACACACCGTCTCCAAGTTTTGACAAGTTGTCGTGGCCTATAGGATAAGACGTCCGGTGCACTCGTGTTGAGCGATGCACCTGTGTTCGAATCTTAGGCGGGTACCAATTTGTCTAATGAAATACGTACTCAACAAATGTTCATGATTGACTTCCACGGTGAAGCAATAACATCGTGTAATAAATATCAAACCTGCAAAATTATAATTTGCGTAATTATTGTTGGTAGGACCTCTTGTGAGTCCGCGCGGGTAGGTACCACCGTCCCGCCTANCGTGTTGAGCGATGCACCTGTGTTCGAATCTTAGGCGGGTACCAATTTGTCTAATGAAATACGTACTCAACAAATGTTCATGATTGACTTCCACGGTGAAGCAATAACATCGTGTAATAAATATCAAACCTGCAAAATTATAATTTGCGTAATTATTGTTGGTAGGACC